ATGTATTCATGATGAGTGTGATGATGCTGATGGTAAGACAATGATATACTCGTGATGATGATGATGATGCTGATGACAAGGCTGGTGTCAACAATAACACTCGCGGTGGTATATCTACTCGCATAGTTATACAATCACTTAATCGTCTGGAGAATAATAGTTACATAATCGAAAAGACATGAGTTTTAAAGTGCTAACAACATAAACTATGAGAACAACAATAATAACAATAAGGGTGATAATAATAACAATAAAATAGCGATAACAACAATAACAAGATACAACAACTTCATTATATTACAAACTAATCACAACGATAACAACAGCAAAAACAAAACAATCAATAATGAAAATCTCTGACATTAAAATCCCATAAAAACAAAACAACCTATAGTCATGATAATCGCTGACTTATTTAAACCCCCATTTGTCACCTGTGAACACCAACAAAAACAACAGGAAGAAACGCCAAGGGAAAACAAATGAAATACTGCTTCTTTCCTTGAACACAACCCCCCTTCTCTCTCATCTACATCTTTAATTTATGATAATTACAATTAATCTTCATACAGCGTTCCGGTCCCCTTCTTGTCCTCAGCCACAGCCCGGACCCCTCCCCCCCTCACTCCCCCACACCCCCCCCTTCTCCCCACAGAGAGGAGATCTCCCTCCACGTCTGTGTTTGTTTGTGCGTTGTCTGTCTGTATGCATTATCTATGTTTTCCCTCTATTTATATCTATGTTCTACCTCTTTCTCTCTCTCTCTCTCTCTCTCTCTCTCTCTCTCTCTCTCTCTCTCTCTCTCTCTCTCTCTCTCTCTCTCACTCTCCCTACTGCTCACTACCCCTCCATACCCTCCCCTATCCCTATCTCCCTTCCCTTCCTTTCCCTTCTCCCATCCCCTTTCCCTCTCCCGTCCGCTCCCCTTCCCTCTCCTTCTCCCCATCCCTCTCCTCTCTCCCTTCGCCCCTTCCCCTTCCCCCTTCCCCTTCCCTCTTTCCCCACCCCTCTCCTCTCTCCTCTTTTCCGCCACTTAGGGATATTAAAACAATTATAGCCTCACCGTCACTTTAATGAGTTGCCAAGTGCATCTCTAATTTGAGTCTCTTTTTCGGCGGAGACTTACTTTCATAAACTCGCTGCTGCTTCGGCTTCCTCTCTCTCTCCCTCGTTAAAACTGCAGCAGCCTTACCGATGGATTCTTTTCCCCCCTCTCCCTCTCCCGCCTCCTCCTCGTCTCTCCCTATTCCCTCCCTCCTTCTTTCCTGTTCCCTTCCCTCCCCCCTACGTTCTCCTCTCCTACTCCCCATCCCATTTTCCCCTATCCCCATCATCTCCCTATTTCTCCATCTCCCTAATCCGCTACTATCCCATCCCCTTTCTCCTTCTCTCCCTTTTCCCTCCCCATCCTCCCATCCCTTCCCTCCAACTCCCCCCCTCCCTCCCATCCCCTCCCCCTCCATCTCTCCCTTTCCCTCCCAATCCCGCCCTTCCCAGCCCCCCCCCCAACAGAGGAGCATGGCGGGCGCGCAAGAAATAGCTCTTAGGGGGTCCCCCTTTTTTCCCCGTAAGTGTACGAGGGGCAATATTTAGCGCACACTTTCCCCGCAAGTGTGCCGCCGTTCCCGCTTTACGTGTCAGGGTCGCTTTCCTCGCATCACCCCTCCCCCCTCCCCGCTCCCCAATTCCCACTCTTTTTCCCCTCTTCCTTCTTTTACCTCCTTCCCCTACCCCCTCCTCAACCCTTTCTCTTTTTCCCTATACTTTCTTTCCCTTCCCCTTTTTTTTTTCCTTCCCTTTTCAGCCTCCTGCCTGTTGTCTGTCTGTCACCATCTCTCCTCCTCTCTTCTCTCTCTCTCATCTCTCTCCTCTCTCTCTCTCTCTCTCTCTCTTCTCTCCTCTCTCTCCTCTCTCTCTCTCTCTCTCTCTCTCTCTCTCCCTCGTTTTTTTTTTTACTGCAAGGTTGCTAACTTCAAAGAACACGCGAAACTCGGTAAAATGTTACGATAAAATGAAATCTCAAGAGGAACAAAAAATGGCGAGGAAAAAAAAAGAAAAGAAGAAAAAAAATAATACAAGGAAAAAAAAAAACTTGAGAAACTGTGAATGCAGACACTGTTTACGCTGGCGCTTCTTATCAGTAAGATTCATTTACATTCAAGATAAAAGCGGGTGGGGGTGGGGGTAGGGGGGGGTAGTGGGGGGGGGCTCCGAGAGGGACAGTGAGTGGGGAAGGGATGAAGAGGGAAGGAGAGTGGGGTTGGGGTGGAGAAAGGTTGGAGAGGGGAAGGAGAAGGGGGGTCGAGAGGGGGACGAGTTAAGTGGGGAGGGGATGAAGAGGGGAAGGAGAGTGGGGTGGGTGGAGAGGGATGGAGAGGATGGTGATGAGGTGGAGAGGATTGTGGGGAGGGGATGAAGAGGGAAGGAGAGTGGGGGTGGGATGAGTGGAGAGGGGACAGTGAGTGGGGAAGGGGGATGGAGAGGGGAAATGGGAATGAGTGGAGAGGGGACAGTGAGTAAGGGAGAGGGTGAGAGGGGAAGAAGGTGGGGAGGAGGTGGAGAAAGGGGAAGGAGAGTGGGAAAGGGAGAGTAGGCGAGGAAGGGGGTAGGGAGAGGGAAGGAGATGGAGGGGGAAAGTAGATGGAATGAGGATAGGGAAAGAAGGAGAACGAAAGGAGAGGATGAAAAGAGAAGAGCAAAGAAGGTAGAAGAAGGGAGATGGCAGTAAGAAGGTATAGAGAAGGAAAAGAGAAGAAAATTGAAGAATGAAAATAAAATAAAAGGAAAAGAAAAGGAAAATTAAAGGAAAAAATAAGACAACAAAATCAAAGGAAACAAGGAGAAAAGAAAAATGAAGGAGAAAAAAACGAGAAAAAGAAAATGAAGGAGGAAAAAAACGAGAAAAAAAGAAAAAAAAAAGAGAGAAGGTAAATGAAGGAGAAATCCTAAGGCAGGGGAAAAAAAAGGATGGGAAGGCCGTATCATCAGATCATCAACGCTTCCTGGTTCCACCTCGCACTTGACACACACACACTTCAGGCCCGAAATAACTCGAGAGCCACATATAGGAAGATGCCGTCACCCCCGCCGCCCGAGAACGGCCCTCTCGCTCGCGTCTCCGCTCTCTCTCTCTCTCTCTCTCTCTCTCTCTCTCTCTCTCTCTCTCTCTCTCTCTCTCTTCTCTCTCTTCTTCTCTCTCTCTTTCTCTCTATCTTGCTCTCTCTTCTCTATCTTACTTTCTTTGTTTCTCTCTTTTTACTTTCTTTGTCTCTCTCTCTCTCTCTCTCTCTCTCTCTCTCTCTATTTTCTTTGTTTCTCTATCTCTTTCTTTACCTCTCTCTCTTTTCTTTTGCTTCCTCTTCTCCCTCTTCCTCTTCTCTCTCTTCTCTCTCTCTCTCTCTCTCTCTCCTCTCTCTCTCTCTCTCTCTCTCTCTCTCTCTCTCTCTCCTCTCTCTCTCACCTCTCTGTCTCTCTCTCTCTCAACCTCTCTGGTTCTCTCTCTCTCTCTCACCTTCTCTGTTCTCTCTCTCTCTCTTCTCTTTCTTCTCTCCTCTTCTTCGACTATTTCACTGTCTCTTTTACACCCTCGCTCTGCCCCCCCCTCCCTCTCTCTCTCTCTTTTTCACTATTCTCTTGTTTCTTCTCTGCTTCCATTTTCTCAATCTTGACCTCATCTCCACCCTCTTCTTCCTCTTCCTCTTCCTCTTTTTCCTCTTCTCCCCCATTCTCCCCTCCCTCCCGCCCACCACCTCCTCTCGTACACGCCCTTCTTCCGCGGCGCCACCCCCGTGTAGCATTAAGAGAAGTGCAGTAATGAAAGACCTCTCCGCGCCCGCATTAATTAAATCGATATCACTCGCCCGAAACGAGGTGTAATTACGCCCACCGCCGGTATAACTGTCGGCGGCGAACATCACGCCCATTAGCCGATCCGCCCCGAGCGAATATGCGTTATACATAGCAACAAATTTTCGCCTACGCTTTGCTCTCTGCTCTCTCTCTCTCTCTCTCTCTCTCTCTCTCTCTCGTCTCTCTCTTCTCTCTCTCTCTCTCTCATCTCTCTCTCTCTCTCCCTCCCTTCTCTCTCTCTCCCCCCTTCTCTCTCTCTCTCTCCCTCTCTCCTCCCTCCCTCTCCTCTCCTCTCTCCTCTCCTCCTCTCCTTCCTCCCTCTCCCTCCTCTCCTCTCTCCCTCCTCTCCCTCTCCCTCGTCCCTCTCCCTCCCTCCCTCTCCCTCTCGCTCTCTCGAACGCGTCCCCTCACTCTTCCCTCCCTCTATGCATAAAAATTTTCTTCGTCTCCCTTTCTCCCCTTTCCCTCCCTGGCCGCCCTCACGCCCACGCCAAGTCGCTACGCCCGCCTTGGATCCCTGCCACCCCTTCGGCCATCCTAAAAATCCCCGTCACTTGGGCGATGCGGACGAGGAGGGAAGGCGTGGAGGGAGGGAAGGAAGGAAGCCGAGAGGANTTCTCTCTCTGGGCTCTTCCTATCTCTTCTCTGCTCCTTCCTAACTCTCTCTCTTCAGCTCTTCTCTCTCTCTCCTACTCTGGTCTCTCTCATCTTACTGCTGCTCATTCTCAGAAACTACCTACCTCTCATTCCGACAAGCTCCGACGACGCATCTTGGAATAAGGGCTGTAGGACTAATGCGTGGTATGTGGAGTGAGTATCCGGGTGTGACCGAACGCAGGCGCAACTCGGGATGGCCCGACAGGAGCGTTCTGAGTGTGACTCTTGGACCTCTCAATCTCATCTACTCAATAACTCTCTCGTTTAGGCTCGCGTGGCAGTCTCCGGTTCGAGAATTGTGCGTACCTCATACATCCTGCTCTCTCTCACTGAGTCTCTCTGCTCTCCTCTCTCTCTCTCTCTCTCTCTAGCTCTCTCTCTTCGGTACTCTAGCTGTTCCTCTCCCGGTTGGACTCTCTCCGAACTTTGTACTTCTTTATCCGGGAATACGGGTGTCGACTACTATATTGTTCTCGGTTTTGTCGTACTTCGAAATGTCTTCTAAACGTCATCTCATCGGTGCGCGCATCTCCTTCATCTAACCGGTCCCTCATCCGTCTCTTCTCTCGTCGATCTGCGTGGCTCTACCTCTCTTCATCTTCGTTCTCTCATCGGGTCTCATCTCTCTCTCTCTCTCGTTCTCTATCACTCTTAGCTGATCTCTGTCTCTCCTCTCTCATCTCTCTCTGACCTTTGTACCTCTTGTCTCGTCCTATCTCTCTCTCTCTCTTCTCCTCTCTCTCTCTCTACTCTTCTCATCCTCTTCTCCTCTCTCTCTCTTCTCTCTCTCTCTCTCTCTCTCTTCTCGTCTCTCTCTCTCTCTTCTCTCTCTCTCTCTCTCTCTTTCTCTCTTCTCTCTCTCTCTCTCTCTCTCTCTCTCTCTCTCTCTCTCTCTCTCTCTCTCTCTCTCTCTCTCTCTCTCTCTCTCTCTCTCTCTCTCTCTCTCTCTTCTTCTCTTCTCTCTCTCTCTCTCTCTCTCTCTCTCTCCTCTCTCTCTCTCTCTCTCTCTTCTCTCTCTCTCTCTCTCTCTCTCTCTCTTCTCTCTCTCTCTCTCTCTCTCTCTCTCTCTCTCTCTCTCTCTCTCTCTCTCTCTCTCTCTCTCTCTCTCTCTCTCTCTCTCTCTCTCTCTCTCTCTCTCTCTTCTCTCTCTCTCTCTCTCTCTCTCTCTCTCTCTCTCTCTCTCTCTCTCTCTCTCTCTCTCTCTCTCTCTCTCTCTCTCTCTCTCTCTCTCTCTCTCTGTCTCTCTCTCTCTCTCTCTCTTCTCTGTCTCTCTCTGTCTCTTTCTCTCTGTCTCTCCTCTCTCTGTCTCTGTCTCTCTGTCTCTGTCTCTGTCTCTCTCTCCTCTCTCTTTGTCCTCTGTCTCTCTGTCTCTCTCTCTCTCTCTCTCTCTCTGTCCTCTCTTCTCTGTCTCTCTCTCTCTCTCTCTCTCTCTCTCTCTCTCTCTCTCTCTCTCTCTCTCTTCTCTCTCTCTCTCTCTCTCTCTCTCTCTCTCTCTCTCTCTCTCTCTCTCTCTCTCTCTCTCTCTCTCTCTCTCTCCTCTCTCTCTCTCCTCTCTCTCTCTCTTCTCTCTCTCTCTCTCTCTCTCTCTCTCTCTCTCTCTCTCTCTCTCTCTCTCTCTCTCTCTCTCTCTCTCTCTCTCTCTCTCTCTCTCTCTCTCTCTCTCTCTCTCTCTCTCTCTCTCTCTCTCTCTCTCTCTCTCTCTCTGAAAAGTATACTTATTTACACATGAGAGCACTAGCAAATGTAATTTTAGTCCAAAAGAAACATATTATGGCTCCTCTTTTAGATAAATAACAGATCTAGGGAATATAGAATGTTTTTATTTTTTATTTTTTTTTTTTTTTCCCTCCCAGAATTGTCAAAAATGAAAAAGTATGCTATAATTCAAGAAGTTTTGGGGCTATTTGAAAAAAAAGGTCTAGATAAAAGGGTTTGATTTTTATCAAAATCTGCACAAGAAAATAAGAAAAGAAAAAAAGACGATCCTCTTAATTCAGTCTGAAAATACCTACTTAAATCCAGGTCTGCACAGGTCTAGTATAAAAACGTATAGGATTCATGAAGTGTACACTCAGTACAGTGGAGTAAACTTTTCCCAAAATGTGACAGACAAGGGAGAACTTGTTTATGCGCAAATTTATAGAACTGCATCAAGCACAACCATGTGTATGGAAAATTAAAAATAGAAACTCTGTGCGTGTGCGTGTATGTGTGTGTGCGTGCGTGTGCGTGTTTTTTTCTTTCTTTCTTTCTTTCTTTCTTGTGTGCGTGCATGCATGCGGTGCTGCGTTATGTGTGTGCATGCGTATGTGTGTGTATGTATGTAAGCACAAAGTTAGGGCATGTAGGTACATATTTTCACCCTCTGTCTCAGAACCAAAACACCACAGGACAAGGCAAATTAACACAGTCAATCCAAGTAGTGTATGGGTGATGGTCTGGGTGTGGCCAAATCAGTTTGAACATGTATGGTGCCCTTAAAAGAAGAACCTTTTCCATCCCTAATGTTCTTTCTCTTTTTTTTCTATTTTCACAGCTGCTACTTTTTTCTTAGCATATGAAGGTGTAAAGCAGCTGGTCAGTGACAAAGTGCCATCAAAATATGAACCTGGAGTTCATATGTTTGCTGCATCAGCTGGAGAAGTGGTAAGTTTAAACTGGCTTTCTTTAGTTAAGTATTCTTTGGATTTTTTTTTAATTCACAAAAGAGGTTGCATTAACACATGTTAATCATATGTACAGCTACGCAGAAAAATATCGCTAGAAAATCATGCTAAACAATCTGACAAGCAACAATATTTTTAAAAATACAGTTGTTAACATTACGAGACTTTTGGTATCCCAGATTTTCCAACTACTTTCAGGTATGTGTGGCTTATCTAAATATTGCAAGGCATATTCCATCCATTACAGGAATAAAATCATCTTACAGTGAATCCATATGTATTCAGGGAACACTATTTGAGACATGAATTAGAATGAGACATTCGAAACTTAAAATACCAACCCTTCCATAACAGAAGGTTCTGTTTGATATTGAATATTTTCTGTTTAGCTGTACATGCCCTGTCCACTGTGATTTTAGTTTATTAATTGTTTTATTCAGTTGGCTCAACAAGTGCTTAATCACCAAGGAGTCAATTGCTAGTCCTACCTAACTCTCCTGTTTTCCCTTTTACTTGATTTTTGGAAATATTTGTATATTTTTGTGCTATTAGTATTGTTAATAACATTATAATAATGATGATGATGATAACAGATGATAAATTAATGAAAATAATAAGAGTACTATAAAAGAACTTTTTTTCCCAAAAGCTCTACAAGAGGGGACACGAAGTGAGGTCATGTAGGCCTACTAATTGAATCCTTGGTGGCAGAACATAATTCACAAAATAAAACAGTGAACATGTGTTATATTTCCTGTAGGTGTTTAGAGCTAAGGAAGATGTGGATATATGCTGAAGTTCAAGAGAACAGTGTTGTAAAAAGGCTATCTAATAGTTACCTCCACTAAGGAGGTTATGTAACTTTGCATGAGATGAGGATGATAACTTCATTGGTACTATTACAGATTTTTTCCATCTATCAAACTCTGCATTGTCTTTCTGTAAGGAATGATGCAAAAGCCTATTATGATTTTTTTAGAAGGGAGGAGAATGAATGAAACACCAAAGTACCACATAACTTGCACAAGGGAGTAAACAATATATCAAGAAGCACCTGCTGGACACACTGTGAAATAAAGCCAACTCATAAATCTTGATACATCACTATATTAGCCTACCCCCCCATCCCTTGCACATTGTTGTCATGGGGAGGGGGGGCTGTTAGGAAATGGAGACTGAAGCCCAATGTAGGGGATCACCCCTGCCTTGGACCTCAGCCCATGCCTCAACTAATTTTACAGGGTCTTTTCTTCTCCAACTTCCCTTTACCTTTTCATCTTCCCCCTCTTCTGTCCACATCCTAAAGTGTAAGATGATGAAAGGACGAAAGGCTGGCTTTGTGTCAGTCCGGAATGACCTTTATACTCCATTTGCTCTTTACCCTTTTCATTACCATACTTTTCACTACAGCACTACAATTTTGACTTCTAACATATTTTATCGTAATCATTAACTCGTTTTAACATTTTTACCACAATGCTTTATCATAGTGCCATATGACCTTTGATGTCTGGCTAACAAACATCGCCCTATGACCCAAAAAACATCCTTACCCGGGGAAGCCCCTATTGTTATATTTTGAATATGCTGCTAATGACCTTAGATGTTGATGTGGCAGAAAATTTTCAGTAAATTAATATATATGTTAGCCTACAAGAGGGCCCAAAAGTTATGAAGAACAGATGAGATTCCCCTATACATCCCACATTTACTACTAGACTATGGCTCAGGTGGATGTGTTTAAACAGGAGGGGGCAGCTGGATGTCAAGGCATGCTTTTCTACACCAGATAAGTTTCTATATTTGCCAAACACTGAACAAACATACCTGATCACAGGTTAAGCATGAGCTAATAACCAAAAGACGAGAAGGTATAATTTTCTACACTAGTTCAAGATGGGATACTGAAACAGTGGGGTTGGCAGGAGGGCAGCCAGGGTACAAGACAGAGGGCTGTGGTGTGAAATGGAGCATATTACATGTTGAGCAATGCAGCACCAGTAATCAAACAAAAAGGGGATATATATTTATTTATTGAAACATCTAAGGTCATTAGTGGCATATATAAAATCTAGTAATATGGTGAGCCCCCAACCAAAAGGTCATACAGCATTATGATAATTAGTTAAAAAAAAAAAAGAATTAACAATTAGGACAAAATATGTTAGATGTCAAATGCTGTAGAGTACTGTTGGTTAGTATGGTAGTGAAAAGAGTAAAGGAGTAGTAGCAGACGAAGTACTTAGGCTGTTCAGGACTGACAAAGCTAGCCTTTCATCCTTTCAGCATGGCTCTCACACTTCAGGATGTGGACAGAAGGGGATGAAGAAGAGAAAGAAAAACAAAAGGAGAAGAAAAGACCATGCAAAATTAGTTGATGCACGGCTTGAGGTCCAAGGTAGGGGTGGTTCCCCACAATAGGTCCCAGTCTTTGACTCCTAATCCCCAAAACAGACAGAAGATTAGCGGGGCAAAGAGGGGATAAAGTGGTCTGTGGGGTAGGGTAATGGTCAGTGACTTTATTTGCCAAATCCTCATTGGATATTCAAGATGGATGCCAAAACAATTAAGAAAGCTCATAAAAAAAAAAAAAAAAAAAAAATACTTTTTTCTTTAACTTTCTCTCCACTTCATTTCTATCAATCAAGGAATTATAAGGATTTGATAATCTAAATGTAAACATATGTGTTTTCATATGTTGTTATATATGTTTCAGGCAGCTTGTGTTATAAGGGTTCCTATGGAAGTTGTCAAACAGCGAATGCAAGCCCAGATGTACCAGTCATCCATGCAAGTTATACAAGTTACTCTTCGACAGGAAGGCTTTAGAGGATTATACCGTGGTTACACGAGTACAGTCATAAGAGAAGTGCCCTTTTCCATAATCCAGTTTCCCTTGTGGGAACTGTTCAAAAAATGGTGGTCACATCATCAGGGAAGATTGGTGGATTCATGGCAATCATCATTATGTGGAGCCCTTGCAGGTAAAAGGAAAGATTGTTATGCCTGTTCATTTGATTTACTTTTTATAAGATAAAATTATATATTTATGGAAGGCTGGGATAATTTTGTTTCTTCTATATCTCTTTGAAGTAATGAAATAATAACATAATGTCTCTTTCCGTCTCAGGTGGAATGGCAGCTGCTATAACAACACCATTAGATGTTGCCAAAACAAGGATAATGTTAGCTGATCATAGTAGCAGTATTGCTAAAGGAAACATTGCCAATGCCATGAAAGTAGTGTATAGTCAGCAAGGAATATCAGGGTAAGTATCAAAGCTTGTCACAGTTCCCTGAAATGGGTGTTTATTCACAAACGGTATAATCAGTAAACATTGGGAATTGTTGCTAGGCATGGCATCTTTCTTTTTTATCATGTGTTCCCATTTTTATTCGAGCTACTTTAAGGCACCATTCACATGATTAAACCGAGTCTGGCAGATTTTGCCCATTTACTGTGCCCATCAAGTAGTGCTCAATCATGCAGATGGGGCCTACCATCTAGTCAGCATAGGTATGAGTAATAGAAATACATTTTTCCTGATATAGGAATTTGTCTGATTATACATTTTCCCTTTTCTCTTTTTCATTGACTGGTTTTTCTAATCCCACAAAGTATTTTTCAGCCCAACATCAGGAACCCCTCCTCAATCCTGTCCCTTTCAATAAAACCATTGGGTCCACAAGTACTTGGTCACTAAGTAGTTAATAACTAGCCTTACCTATCTCCCCTGTTTACCCTTTTCCATAATTTTGGAAAGATTAATTTGGATTTTTTTATAGCTATTGGTATTTTAATAACATTATATAATCAATGTCAAAATACTAATATTAACAATGTTGATATTCATTGCATTTGAAAAAAAAACTGAAAATACATGGAATAGGGAAATCAGATCAGTTCATATCAATTCATAAAAAACTACAGTGGGCAGTTAATGTACCCATACACCTGATATTTTCCCTGAATAAGATAAATATGTATATACATTTTTTTTCTTTCTTTCAGGCTCTTTGCAGGAGTAATACCTCGCACAATGTGGATATCTTTGGGTGGAGCAGTCTTCTTTGGAATTTATGAGAAATCAAAAAACTTTATCCAATCTAAAATGGGAGCAGATAAATGATATAAGAAACATTATCTTCAAGTCACTTTATTCCTACCTCATTGAGAAAGAAAGGTTAATGATAATTGTTGTAATTTGTAGTTTTTATATTATGAAAAAATTACTTATAATTTATATTGATTCCTTTTGTATATAAAATTTGAATACATAATCCTTGTTCTCCATTTTCCTTCCTTAGAAAACATTTACAATATTTAATTAATTAGGAAAATATTATTTGCATTGTCATTTCTGTACAAACTTCAGAGGTTACACTCATTCTCCCTTCAACTCATTACAATCAGCAACAACAACTTTCTGTGACGGCCGACCAGAGCGAGACCCAAGCTTCTCAATGGCCTTAACTACATCCATGCCTTCAACTACTTCTCCAAAGACGACATGAGCACCATCAAGCCATGGGGTAGTTACTGTCGTGATGAAAAACTGTGAACCATTGGTGTTGGGTCCTGCATTGGCCATAGATAGTATACCAGGTCCTGTGTGCTTCAGCTCGAAGTTTTCGTCCCTGTAAGAAGTACATAGTGAATTAGGTGGTGAGTGTGGGGGTAAGGAGAGAGAGTGGATGGCTGTGGGTGAGAGGGTATGGTTAAAGGGGAGCGAGGGAAGAGAGAAAAGTTGTTTCAAGAGTATACATGCACACATGCTGCTATCCATATATATACATACATTCATGTATAAGTAAAGACGAATAAAACACCACCACAATACAAAATTAAATTATATTTTAAAGATTAGAACTCTTCAATCATGAAATTCATTGGTTATATATCAGTCTGATGAGAACTCTTGAGGAGTTTGAAACCTTTCAATTTAATTTAATTTCTTACTGTGGCTGTCATTTATTCATGAGCTTTTACAGTACAAATTTAATGCTTTGTTATTTACGTCAGCTTTACCTATAGGTCACCTAAATCTTTTATATAAATACTCCATTTCAATACTTGTAACTTTAACATTACATCTTTATAGTTGACACCCAATTCATAGTTTTCTATGAGACTTTACTTGACAAAAAAAAATCACCTACCTGAACTTTGAGCCATAAATTGACTTTCCACCTGTTCCATTAAAATTGGTGAAGTCCCCACCCTGACACATGAAGTTGGGGATGATGCGATGGAAAATGGACCCTTTGTAGCCAAAACCTTGCTCTCCTGTGCAAAGCTGACGGAAGTTCTCTGCAGTTTTTGGCACTACATCAGACCTTAGCTGAAAAGTATGATTACATAAGTTTAAAAGGTAATGTTCCCAGCAGATGCTTATCCAGCAAGGATAGCAAATGAAATGATCCACTTTTATACCAGCTAAACCCTAGGTGCCACAAATTTGTACTTCCAAAATTGATTTACAAGGTCATTTTTTTATCTTTAGTGTATGAGAATGAAAGACCCCTAAAAATGTTTAAACAATGATAAACAAAATGTAGAGAAAATAAGTTACCTTGCAAAATCACAACCATACATGATCACTGATTACTATTTGTGGCTAATTGTTGTGACTATTCATCAGTTTAGTAAAGTTCAATTCAAAAGGCATTGTTACTTGCAAAAAACAGCTACTGCTCATGTTCAAGCTGTCTCAACAGTAAGATACCAGTCATTGTTGGCTTGACCCCTTGGATCTGGGTGACATGCCTATCACAGCAAGTAAAAATATTTGGCAGAGGGCCAGGTAACAAGAATATGCCATCAAGAAAAAATTTGGCTGAAAGATGGGGGAGGGGAATATACCATCATGGAAAATATGACAGAAGGCCAGGGTGACAGGAGTGACTCACAACAAGTGCACAAAACTCTTAGCATTATTTCTACCAGTAAAGACTGGAATCTACTATCCATGAGCCATGAATGGAAGATCCCTAGCTCCAGGGAGGACACTATCTCTATAATTAACCCCTTGGACCCGGATGATGTTGCGAACACATCATGGAAAAACTTAGGCAGCTGCCTGGGTGACGTGAACATGTCATCAACCGGGCAAGTTGGCTGCTGCCCGGGTGACATGAATTGCCGTCATGAGTGAAGGCCAGGGTGACGGAAAAGATTCGCCACAGGTGCACAAACCTCTTGGAGTGTGATTCGACTCATCTGGCATTTAGAAGGGGGCTTTAGCATCATTCCCATCGATAAACAAACATGAAATGTAACATGCGTAAGCAGTGACTGAAACAGCACCAGCTCCAGGGAGGACGCCATTTCCATGCTGCGCACCATATTCCTGGCCGCTGTGACCAACGGTACAGGTTGTATCACGTAAAATTGAAAATTACGAAAAAAAATTGGATATATAACACAAATAACCAAATGTTCCTTTATTTTTTTTTTTTTTTTTTTTTTTTTTATTTTTTTTTTCTTCTTGCACTGAGTCATATACTACATAGAGAGATGATATGGAGTCTGTGCAAGGAAAATAAGTAATTACTATCAGGATAAAGCAATTCAAAAGACAAATATGGACATTGGAAAATGGCGAAAAAGCTAAAAAAGTTTACACAAAATAACTTTTCAAAGGGGAGGCACAGTCTTGTCACCACTCATGGGTGTTCGTGCGCACCCAGTCTACGTGCCACACACCCGGGATGTTGGCTACTTACGTAACCCACTACCCGGGGCTTTGAGCTCCATGATTTCTGTCATGCAATCAGATCCAAGGGGTTAAGATCCTATTCCAGCCAACTATGACTGTCAGTGCCAGGTGTATTACAGAAAAATGAATGTAATGTTTTTTTTTAAATGACACAAATAAAATGTTATTTATGGTTATTATTCCTGAATTGACTTACAGCCTACCTAGAGTGAAAAAGTCTACAATCATCTTGATACTGTATATCAAATGACAAACAGAACTTGGAAAATTGTAGAAACAGAGATAACATTTCAAAGGGGAGGCATGGAGCCTTGATACTGTATTACTAAAAGTAAGCCTAATGCCCAGATTTTGGGCCACATACAGGGTGCAAGGCAGTTTATGAGACTTCAGTCTTTTCAGAGCTGTAATTGTAAATCACAATCTCTCATTTTTCTTCTTTTTTCAGGTAAACCTTTACAGTACAGATCCATTTACCGAAGTCTAAGTTAAAAAGAAGAAGAAGAAAAAAAAAAATCTATTCACAACAAGTTGCCATGACTGGGTGTGCACGAGGGGGAAGCTGCCCCCCTAACATCCCCCTGGGAACTTTATCTTCACCTCAGTAAGTTTAACAAGACTGAGCTGAAACTCAAGAGCATCGAGTCCATGAAACTCAAGAGCATCGAGTGGACTCAGGCTGTGAGCAGCGCTTTCTGCAATCTTTTGTGCTATACACACTATTATTTGTTATATGTTATCATTCGTGTCTGCAGAAAACTACTTGTACCGATGACTTTTTATCTTCTAAGAGAATATCATCAATTTGCCCTAGTTTAGTGCCTCCATACTGTAAAGATTAATTTTTTAAAAATATTCAGGCAAATCAGAAAAAAATAAATAAAAAATAGCACATTGATGCATCACTTTAAGAAAATAAATAATTGTATTTCCATGTACAAAAAAACAAATATTGCAACAAGAAAATACTAATTTCACTGTAAAAAAATATATTATTGAACTTTAAAACATTCAAAACTTCTTGATATTGTTGTTGATCAAGTTTTGTGACATTCTCACATTCTGGAGATGCCCATGAACTTATAAATACCCAAAAATACATGAATCATAGGCAATAAGTAATGTACATAATGTGAGACTCATTCATTACCAGTCTTCTACTCACTCCCAGAAAGACAAACAGCGATCAATATGGATAACAGGGTAATGACTTGCTTTTGAAACATTTTGATGTTTGTTTGTTTTTAATGAAATCCACTGATTTCAATTATTTTGAGCATTGTTCCTTGTGTAAATAAATAGTTGAGAATATGCAAGTACAATTTTCATCAACAATTTTGATTTCATAGTCCTGATAGCACTGGCGGGCATGAAGTATATCAGGGAAATTATGTGTTAAAACTGGTTGAAATAGAATTAACATAAAACATAAATGAGTAAAAAAAAAAAAAAAAAAAAAAAATCATGAAAGACACTGAAAATCAGCTTGCAAAACTCTACTGACATTCTAGCCATTTTTGAAAGTATACGGGCACTCACACCAACTTTTGCAAAACTCTACAGACAGCCAACAAATATTTCAGTAAAATCTAAAACCATAATGCCTCTAGCCACGGGGCTCCACCCCCTGAACCCCCAGAGTCATAGATACACCTAGCTAAAGGGTATATGCTCAGCAAGGGGGCTCTACCCCTTGGACCCCTATAGTCACTTATGCCTACCAAACCTGAACTAAGCTAAGTTAAGCTAAGCTAACCCCCCGTGGTTATTAAAAAAAATGTCCTAACCTACACTGTGATTTTTTAAAAATACACTCACTGGTTGCATATATACCTAGATAGGGGGCTATGCTCCCCTGGACCCTAATATCACTTGCACAATTACTCTATCAATATAAAAAGTGGTCCTTATAATTTGCTTACTAAAGACCACATACTATTTCTCACACTTTGGCAATTGTCTAAATCCTTGTTTGTGACAATTTCTGACACTTGGAGCACTTAATGAGCACACATATCAAATTGGGATGCTTACTCATATCTATTCCATCTTCATTGCCACTGTATAGTCTTAAGAATAACCCACAATCAATGCAAAACTGAAAATGAAACATTTCTTGCACACACTTGAAAAGGAATAGTCTCTCCCTACGCTGTCAAAAATCCCAGTCATGAACACACACTTGCACAGAAGATTATTGTAAATAACTTTATAAATAATTCTTAAAACATGTTAAGGAAATACAATAACATTCATAAAACACTTTAAATGCATAAATATAGGAAAGCAGACATCCAAAATATCATTTTGACAAGTGCTTAATAATACATGAACTTCTTAACCCGTAGCCGACGGGTGGCACGTACGTATATGCCATGGCTGTTGTGGACTGAAACATGGATGGCATCCTATCATGCCTATTTCCGCGCCACTGGCTTGTCGGACGGAGTTTGTTTTTCTCCGAAAGAAGTGGCTTCATTTATATGGTAAAGATTTTTGGCAATGACACCTATTATGAATGTAAACCTTCAAAATCTTGATATTTTTATAAACTATAGCAAAATATAAGCATTTAGGTGCTAAATGTCACTTGCAAACTACCAATCAAACCAGGCACAAACAGGGGAACTGCCGATGCGTGCCAACAATCCTGTTTTTACGTTTCCTTGCCAAACATTTTTACCCGTCAGCACTAGGTTAACATATCGTAGTAATGAGCTGTGCAATGTGTGGTATTTATCCTCAGAACAACATGAGTGACTCAACTTATGTTCTTCTCTGTTCTTTTGTGCATAGCACCATTAAGAGGCATTAGCACAAATATTGCCAAAAAAGTCTAAGCCAGTTAGTTAAAATTGTGCAAGGCCTAACCCAATGAATATTCATTATATGGACATGTATTTACACAGAAATATATACGTATCTATATATCTAGACATGTATCTCTACCACAGAGACAGACTTTCCTACCTTCTAAAGCTAATTGTTAACAAGCCCGACACACCCTCCCAGGGACTAAGTCAAAAATAAGATGTTTTTCTGCAGGAAATCCGATGATTTCATCAATTCTTGGTGTTGTTTCTTCTGTGAATGAATCTTTGAGGATATCTGAGTACCATTTTTCCATTAACAATCTTGCTTTGATAGTCCCAATAGCAGGGAAGGGCATAAAGTATATCACGGAAATTACAGGGTAAAACAGGCTTAAATAAGAAGAATAGAGAACAAAAATGTGTAAAACCAGCACAAAAAATGCTTAAAATCAGCGAGTGAAACTCAAGTTGAAATTCTATGGACCAATGTGCCAATATTCAAAAATCTCTCTGGGAATCCAACCCACCTTTCAGTAAAATTTACGGGAATTCACACCTTTCAAACTCCTCCAAGAAAGTCTTGAACAATAAACCCCACTTGACCTGACAATCTAAGATGTGCCCAACTGCTTGAGGAGAGGGTTGATAGGGGGCTCTGCCCCCCTAACTATCCCCGGGGCACATTCTCTTCACCTAGGTATGTACGGCAAGACAGAGCTGCATTCACACCATAAAATAAAACAAATACCTTTATTTCAGGAAACCTTAAACTTTTGTATGAGAACATCCATAGAAT